AACCCTAACCCTAACCCTAACCCTAACCCTATCGCTAGGCCTTAATTTTTTAAAGAGTGGAAGGGAGGGTGAGAGGACAGGTGGGACATCAACATGAGAGAGACACACCCATTGGTTCCCTGTCTCAGGTCAAAGACTGGGGCCAGGGATTGAACCTGCAGCCCAGGTACATGTCCTTCCCTGGGAATCAAGCCAGAGACCCTTCAGTGCGTGGACTGACACCCTAACCACTGAACCACACCAACCAAGGACACAACTCAATCTTAAAATGACCAAAGGACTTGAATAGATGCCTATCCGAGAAGACACAAATGACAGTAATCTTGTGGATGTTTCAACATTAATGATTATTGAAGTGGAAAGAAAAACCACAATGAGCTGTCTGTTCTCACACACACTAGGGTGAATATAATTAAGAAGTTGAAGTTTTGACTAGCATGTGGAGAAACTGGAATTCTCTTATTTCGTTATAGGAATGTAAACTATGGCAGCCTCTGTGTAAACTAGTTTAACGTGTTTTCAAAGACTTAAAAATAGTTACCTGCTACCTCAATTCCACTCCCAGTTATATATGCCCAAAACTTGAAACAGGTGTTCATGACTGCTTTTAACAGCATCACTCACAATAGCAAACATGTGGAAACAACCCAAATGTCCTCCCACAGACAAAGGGGTAAACCAAATGCAGCCTGTCCACAGGATACAATACTATTCAGTCAAAAGGGGAGATACACGCAAAGTGGTGACACTGCTGTAGAAGGCACGGCGGTTCATCAGAAATTAAATGCAAAATTACAATACGATCCAGCAATCCCACTGCCAGGTGTACAACCCACAGAAGCAACAACAGGGACCTGAACAGAGACTTGCACCCACGTTCACAGCTCCCATGTCCCTCGCTGGGGAAGGATGAACCAGGCAAAGCCGCCCACACACCAAAGCGTCCCTCAGCCATGAGAAGGAACAGAGCTCTGCACGAGGTGAACGAACCTTGACAACAGGGCGCTAGGTAAGAGAAGCCGGTCACAAAGAACACACTGTGTGATGCCATTTACATAAATGTCCAGAACAGGCAGATCCACAGACACACAGTGCATCATTGGCTGCCAAGGGCTGGGCAGAGGGAATGAGGACTGGCAGCTGAGTGGTAGGGGTTCCCTGTGGGTGGTGAAAAGGTTCTGGAACTAGGAGGTTGTACATTGCAAGTGCACGGGATCCTCCATGTGGGCTGCACAGGGGAGTCTCGCTGTCAGGAGAGGGTGTCCAGGGGAATGCAAGGCCTGGTCTAAACAGGAGGAGACATTAGGCAGACCCAGGTTTGAGCTGTCTGTGCCCTTTAAATCCACCAAGGTGTGAAAAGAGGGCCAGTCTCGGGGACAGTTTCAGGAAAACTGGATCAGACTTTGAAAAGGCCTTTCACACCATTGGAGCAGGTATGGCAAGTGAGGTGGCCTAAGGATTGGGTCATGATGCAAAGACTACACTGCTTTCCTCACCTGGGACTTTATGGACACCAACTTCCTCTTTCCTGATTTTACAGACAGCCCAGGATCTCACCTGCCCAATCAAACGCTTGTACACACTCAGCTCTCCTCAATGGCAGGGCTCACAGAAACTCAACTCCAAAAGAACAGACTGTCTCACCCATTCTGTCTCAGTGATACTGCCTGGCACAGGTGCTCCATCAATCTGGACTAAATGAAGCCCTGCAGTCTTATTTTATTCATCTTTGATTGTGGCAATGATATAAGGAACATAAAAGTACTTTGTAACTTGGACTAAAAGACTTTTAAAGTCATTTTGCAAGATTCTATCTGGTGACTTCCTGAATCTGCCAACACAGAAGGCATCTGTTAGAAAGGCAGGACAGAGTCCAGCCCGCACTCCCACCTGGGCCTGGCCTGGGACCACAGGAGCAGCAGCACAGGGTCTGGCCCAAACAAACAAGTCGAGCCAAGCTTCCTGGGTCCCTTTACAGCTTTCAGCTTGTGGGAGGCACAGTGCATTCAAGACTGAGAAATTTCAATGAACCCACTCTCCCTGAGTAACCCCAGAGCAAGTGGAGTGTTTGCAAGTATCTAGAGGACCATCCTGGACACTCCTCCACATCCAAGCTATAACCAACTCATGGCAATTTCACCTCCCAAATTTCTCTCCAGTCTACCACCCCAGTCCCACACTGGGCAGCAGCCTCCTGACAGGACCCCTTCTCCCTAACCCTTCAAGGACCATTTTGCTCTCAGGCTACAAATCAACACCGCCCACAAGCACCCCACCCCCATTCATGGGCTGCAAGATCTTCATGCTGCAGCTCTCATGTTTCTAGGGTCACCTGAAACCCCTCCCCCTTTAGCGTTCGTTTTTCAGGCCTCAGGAGCCTGTGGGCTCGAAAACACTTTTTTGCCAAACGGCCTCTGCGTGACGTTTTCCCCCGGAGACATTGGATTCGACTACGCAGCCTGAGTCCCCTTCTCCCCGCTCCTGGCGCCTTTCCTTCAGGGAATCCTCCGGAACGTCAGGAGCGCAGGTATCTGATTCACACCTGTCTGCCCCACTGGGCGCGCAGCTCCACCAGGGCAGCTCTGCTTTGCTTTTGGCTGTAGCTTCAGACCGGGACGAACGGCTGGCCCGGCACACACCTGCTCTGCACAGGTAACTGGCCACAGAATCAATGGAGGCACCTGGGCCAGCGGCGCGCGGCCGGCTGTGCAGAGGGCGGGCTAGGCCCCCTGCTAATTCTGGCTCTGTCGTGGCTGTCTCGGTTCTCGGTTAAAAACAAATGTCCACACCTGGAGAAATTAGCTCACATTCACCCCGTCAGAGAATTACAAACTTTACAAACGGCCAGTCACGTGCCTCTCGCACCTAAAGCGCCAAGCCCTGGGCGCTCCCATGGGCCCCGCAGTAGCCTCCGCACCTACGCCCCACCGCCCGCAGGAGGCCTCACCAGGGGTCCCGCCCCCTCACCTGGGGTCCCGCCCCCTCACCTGGGGTCCCGCCCCCTCACCTGAGGTCCTGGCCCTCGCCCGTGAGGCCCGCTGTCCCGTCACCCCAGGAGGCCTGCGGCGTGGGAGCACCGACTCAGTCCCGAGCCCACCTCTCGGAGCCCCAGCGCCGCGCAGACCCTG